GGATCACAAGGTCAAGAGATCGAGACCATCCTGGTCAACATGGTGAAATCCCGTCTCTACTAAAAAAAAAATACAAAAATTAGCTGGGCATGGTGGCGTGCGCCTGTAGTCCCAGCTACTTGGGTGGCTGAGGCAGGAGAATTGCTTGAACCCAGGAGGTGGAGGTTGCAGTGAGCCGAGATCGCGCCATTGCACTCCAGCCTGGGTAACAAGAACGAAACTCCATCTCAAAAAAAAAAAGAACTAAAGGTGAATTTGAGACCTTAAAGTGATGACAAGTTAAAGGATAAACAACTGAAACACAATGAAGCCAATGTTTGCTTGAGTTGAATTCAAGAATTTTAAGGTTAAGGGTAGTTACAAAGGAAGCTCAGCGTAGTGGTTTCTTACTAGTGCCAATGGTCTTGGAGAAGTCACGTGGCCTATTTTAGTTTCATTTGTAAAATGGTAATAATAACAGTATCTATTCTATATGGATGCTATTAAGATTAAATTAGTTAAGATATATAAAGTGCTTAGAAAAGAACCTGACACACAGAAAGTGCTCAATATGAGTAAGCTATTTTATCACTATTGTTGTTTCTGTTATTGTTTATTCATACAGTCATTGATATCTGCCAAGATGATGTCAAAAATCTAGATGAAAGAGAAAACTAAGCCAACAATACAGTAATCAAAAAGAGCAATGGGACTGGGCACAGTGGCTCATGCCTATAATCCCAACACTTTGGAAGGCTGAGTTGGGAGGATCACTTGAGGTCAGGAGTTCACTACATTGCCCAGGCTGGGCAATATAGTGAGACCGCCATCTCTACAAACATTTAAAAATTAGCTGGGCACGATAGTGCATGCCTGTAGTCCCAGCTACTTGCGAGACTGAGACACAAGATTGCAGTGAGCCATGACTGTACCACTGCACTCCAGCCTGGGCAAAGAGTAAGACCCTGTCTCAAGGGGAACAAAAAGGGCAATGGTAGAGGAGAGTACGGCTGAATGATATGCTTTGGTGTTAACAATGTAGTATTAAATATAAAAAATATTTTAAAATTCATCAAATATTTACAATCTTGTGACTTAAAACATATACAAAAAAAACACAAGACCATCGTAAAGGTACCAATTGAGTATTAGTAGTACAGTATTACGTATATACAACATTACAAGGAGTTTTGAAAATGCTCTGACTGGAAATCACGGAAACCACATTAGAACACTAAATTGTACTAAAATGAAAATGAGTTGGAGTTAACTTTATCTCACCATATCTATATAGAAATGGTAGGCAGCGTGTGGTGGCTCATGCCTGTAACCCCAGCACTTTGGGAGGGCAAGGCGGATAGATCACGAGGTTAGGAATTTGAGACCAGCCTGGCCAACATGGTGAAACCCCATCTCTACTAAAAATACAAAAATTAGCTGGGCATTCTGGTGGGTGCCTGTAGTCCCAGCTACTTGGGAAGCTGAGGCAGGAGAATCACTTGAATCCCAGAGGTGGAGGTTGCAGTGAGCTGATGCACTCCAGCCTGGGCAACAGAGCAAGACTTCATCTCAAAATAAGAGAGAAACAAATGGTAAAGCATGAGTTCCTAGAGGGTCAATAACTCTCTACATGCACCCTCAGTTAACAGATAATGCCTATAGTAAAAGGACACATCAATGAATCAGTGGGCACTAACCAAACAGTTCAAGTCTGAGAAGTCCAAGGCATCTTTCTATTTTTAACAGGCAAGGTCTGAGCCCAGAGTGGAGTGCCATGGCACTATCATAGCTCACTCTAATCTCAAACTCAAGCAATCCTCCCAACTTGGCCTCCTGAGGCTCTAGGACTACAGACACACCCCCGTACCCAGTTTTGTTTTGTTTTTTTGTAGAGATGGGAGTCCTGCTATGTTGCCCAAGCTTGTCTTAAACTCTTGATGTGAAGTGATCCTCCTGCCTGAGCCTCCCAAAGCACTGGGATTACAGATGTGAGCCACTGTGTCCAGCCCAAGGCACCTTTTGCAGGTTTTTCCTACCACAGTCACATCTGTTTAATTTCTCTTCTATCCTGATAAGCTGCACAAAAAAAGTTCAAGAAGTATGCATATTTATTCATTCTCTTTCATGGAATCCAGAAATTCACCAGTATCTGTTCAAATAAGGCCATCTTTCAAAGAGAAATACATGAAATAGATATAAAACATCTTTAACTTCAGAGCATTATGAAATTATATCATGTTAGTTTACAAGACAAAAGGATATGCTTCCTCCTGGAAAAGATCTACTATGATTAGCAGCCCGGGAAGGGGATTACAAACAGGAAGGCAGGGGCCCATTGTCCTTTACTTTGTACCCAAGACAAGACCACAGTGGGAAAATGCCCTAGAAAGCTTTGGCCTTAAGAAAGACTCAGTTGGCAGACTTTCTTGGACATTTATTCCCTGAACAAAATCAAAATGGCAAAGAAGAAAGAGAGAAAAAAGTAAAAGTGCATTCATATCTGGTCTTGAAAAGGAAACAGTCTGTTCTAAGCCTTAAAAGCTGTACTTAATTGGATAAATTTTGGAAAAACATTCATCAGAGCAGAGCAGCACACAGTCAAAATCTAGCCTCTGTCTCAGATTCACAATCAGGTCTGATTTTTATTTACCAAACACTGAAATTATTTTTAATCAAAAATGTTCAGATCTTTATACTAAAGTAACTCTAAAAATTAAAAACTTACAAGTATTTCTAACTTAGGGCATGGAATTTCAAAACAGACATTCTGTATCTTATATTAGTGTAATGCAAAAAACACTAGTATCTGTTGAAGCTACAGTTGATTCAACAAGTTTTAAAAGGAAAGCTTGATGACAAAAATGACAAAAATATAGTGTGTTAAGACTATGCTTAGCAAAACCTATCCAATGTTTTTAATTTATATAAAACATATATATATATATATATATATATATATATATATATATATATGGCAGGGGGGAGGGGGTTATGGTTTGTTTGTGTGTTTTTGTCTGAGCCAGAGTCTTGCTGTTGCCCAGGCTGGCCACAAGCAATCCTGCCACCTCAGCCTCCCAAACAGCTGGGACTACAGCAGGCATGAGCCACCATGCCCAGCTATTTATTTATTTATTTTTGTAGAGACAGAGCCCCACTGTGTTGCCCAGGGTGGTCTCCAACTCCTGAGCTCAAAAGATCATCCTGCCTCAGCCTCCCAAAGTGTTGGGATTACAAGGCATGAGCCACCGCACCCAGCCCAAAATTTTTTAAATAGTTCGACCTAAGAAGTTATGAGAATTTTCCATAGGCCCCTGCAAAGGAAAAAAAAAATTATGAGATTTTATTTATTAAGAAATTGAATTTGAATGAAAGCAAAGGTCACAAAGAAGAAAGCAGGCATGCCATCTCTCCACATCCTACATCTAGGATGTAGGAAAGGACAGATCTACAGACTCATGCTGAACCCAGTTACTGATCATCTCCAGACCTGCTTTACACCAACCTAACTGCAATTCTCACCTTCCATCCTCAAACAACACATTCACAACTCCACTTGCTCCATAACCCAACAACCATGCCGACGTAATCAGAAAGCACCACCTCACTTCTTAGAGGAAGACAAGAACCAGATTTGGTTTGACTAAACTAAGGAGACAAAATGCCAGCCTTCAAATAAAATAACCACCATGCTATCACCTCTGAAGAGTTATTCAAATCTCATCAGCGCACTTCTATCAGGCTCAGACAGGCACATCACGACACAAAGTGGAATGTTCAGTGGTGGCAGAACAGCTGCCCAAAGCAGTAAGAGATATGAGCAAGGGATCTGTTGACAATCTAATTTCAGCTACCTCGAGATTCCACAAAGATGACAGCCTGAGTCCTCAGAAATGCAGCCGCAAGCCTCACCCACTATCAGAGTATTCTGGTTTACTTCTTCTCTGCAAGTTGAGCAACTCTGAAAATCTATCCATCCAATGCTGTATGGCTACTAGAGGCCTCCATACTGATACAGTGGCCTTAGCAATCCTCAGATCGCGGTTTGCACCTGTAAAGCATCATCGGACCTTCCACAGCCCCCGCAATGGACGCAGATGATGAATATAAAACACGGAATTTCACCCCAACAAGAATGGAATCTTGACGGCAGTTTACCTTGGAAGCTCATTTAGCAATCAAGGAAAACAAAAAAATGATCTGGAAGCTCCATTCTGGCGTTAGGGCCAGGAATGTTTTGTGTTGCCTGAACAATGACTAGCTTGCTTAAGCAGCCTCCCAACCCCCACAACTTGGCTTCTGGTCTGGCCAGTCACCCTGAAAGCTGCCAGGGCTGTCACTCGGTGCCTTCCAGCAACTGGACTTGGCTCCTAAAGGATTTGTCAGATCATCCTCCCAATATGGCTGCCTGAGTAATCCCAGTGCTGAACGCCGAGACCACACCAGCCTTCCTCACACCTGGCCAGCATCCAACAAGCCCCCTCCCTTTCCATCTCACCCCCCTTTCCAGGCCTCGAGCCCTCGGCTCCCCCAGTGCCAAGCGATGGCCCTTCCTATCTCCATCTGGCAAAAGGGCATAACCACCCACATTCCCAGCCGAAGCCCGATGCCCACCATAAAGGGGGAAAAGGGAGAAGAAAAAAAAACGATGGCTTCAAATGGAACGGGGCCGTCCCCCAGTGCTGCAACGTGCGTGGAGCCCAGAAAACCGCCGGGCAACGGCGGGTCTAGAGGGCGCTGGGCACAGCCGGGGCCTGGCAGCGCGGGCGAAACGGAGGGCCGGTGCGGGACACTGCGGGGGCCCCAGCTGGACGCTGGACGCCAGCCCGGGACTCGCAGCTGGCCGAGAGAGGGGTTCCCACCCCCGAGGGCGAGGCTCCTGCACCCGGCCCCCGCCCCGCGCTTCCTCCCCTCAGACCCCGCCCGGCCCCCGGCCCCCGGCCCGGCCGCTCCCCGCCGCGTGAACGGCCCCCTCCCCGGTCCGGCTACCGCGGCGCCAACCCCCTCCCGCCCTGCCGCCTCACCTCAGCCGCGGTGCGGACCGACGGGCAGACCGGGTCAACAGGAGCCGAGGCGCGCGGGGGCGCGGGGGGCCGGGCACCGACGCACCTCAGCGCGAGCAGCGGCCACCGCGAGCCGCAGGGCGCCGCTCCGTAGCGCCATCACGCAGCAGCCCGGCTCCGCATAGAGGTGGGAGGTGGGCGGCGGGCGGGAGTGCGCGAGGGCTGGAGGCCGGGGCGCGGCGACGGCCGGCGGTTACGGCTGCGGAGGACTGGGAGCGGCTCCGACGCGCGCGGGCGCCTCCCAGGAGGGCTGCCGTCAGACTGCCCCGCGTAGGTCCTCGCGAAACTCCGCCTGCAGTCGCCGGCGCGGGACACCGCCCCGAGCTGGGCCTCGGCGCGTCACCTCGGCCCGCCCCGGCGCCCGCGACGGACGGAGACTGCAGCCAATCACAGAGCAGAGCTCGGGGAAGCGGGCCAATCGCAGGGGGAGCCGGGAGCGGGGCGGCTGCCGGGGGCTGCAGGGACGCCCGAGCGCCCCCTGGTGGCCACGGGGGTCCGGCGAGGTGTGGGCATGCGAGCGCCCCCTGGAGGCCCCGGTGCCGGCGCGGTGTGGGGGTGCGGGGTTGGCCAAAGCCGGAGCCAGAGTTCCCTCCCGGGTGACCCCCAAGGGCGTTCGTCGGCATCAGCCGTGCCTAGCCCACCCCGATAATTCTCCTCGTCCGGAGACAAAAGATTGACAGAGTAGAGTGAGGCGGGGCCCAGGAGTCCAGATGCTCGCGGAGGAGCTGGGATCAACATGGGAGGCGTCGCGAGTGGAGTCATTGTCTGTCTGGAAAACATCTCGCGGGCGGAACCGGCCGAACGCGGCGCGGTGGGAGCGGAACCCCGCGAAGGGATAAGCGCATCCCGCGGGAAGCTGCCGGGCCTATTCTTACCGAACCCGAGCGCAACACCTCCCACGCGCCACCTCAGGAGAGAAGGCGGAATGAGTAATGGAAAAGCATGACTTGGTGGGCATTCCACTTGTCTCCTTGGGAGACCGCGGAAGGGCCGTGAAGAGAGGAACAAACGCTTTGCAGCGTCTCTGAGTTAATGAGCCCAGCCCCCTTCTGGGAGATGCCCTTGAAGGACGCATAGTGGAAATCAGAAACCCGGAGGACACAAAAACGCGACAGTGATTTCTTTAAAATCAGATTTAGGTTCAGCTCAAAATAAAAATCTCACTGTTCATAAACAGTTCAGTTCAGTTCAGTACGTAATACAATATCGTCTTCAGTGATAACATATGTAATTATCAGGCCCAGGCTGGCACTATTACTTTATAAGGTTGTGAAATGTTTTTTATTTACTAGCAGATGTTGAAAGTAAAATCAGATTCCTTCCCCTGAATTCAATACAGTATTATTTTGAGTAAAAGACATTATTTACAATTATATGCACTAAAACATCGAAATTAATTTTCTACACTAGTAATTCTGGAAAATCTCCACCACCACTCAAGTCCTCAGATTCTTCGCTTTTATTGATCTCTTCTCATTTTATTTAGAATTTAAACTCCACCTACCGGCAAAAGGATTTGACATAGTTTACACTAAAGGATACAGCAGTGAAATTGTATGGCATTAAAATAGGCGTAAAATTCATGATAATAAAAGAAACAAGTAATAACAGACTATTTTTTTAAAGCTGTTTGAATAAGAGGCATGCCTAGAAAGAATTTTTTTTTTTTTTTTTTTTTTTTTGAGAAGGAGTTTCACTCTGTGGCCAGGTGGTAGTGCAATGGCATGCTCTCGGCTCACTGCAACCTCTGCAACCAGGTTCAAGTGATTCTCCTGCTCTGCCTCCTGAGTAGCTGGGATGACAGGCACGGGCCACCACGCCTGGCTAATTTTTGCAGTAGAGGAGGAGTTTCACGGTGTTGGTCAGGCTGGTTTTTGAACTCCTGTCGTCAGGTAATCCCAAAGTGCTGGGATGAGCCACAGGGCCCGGCCAGAAAAATATTTTTTAAAATCAGAGTCAAGGAAATACGTTACCACTGAGCACAGAACTCAGCTCTGAGCTTCCTGAGGCTAAGAGAAAAATGAAACTCCAGTAGGTTAATAAACAGGAGCTCATCAATTCAACAGTAGACACCACTTCATCCTAGGTGGACCTGGTTGCATAAGGACTGTGATGAGCACCATGGAGAGTTACAAAAACCTGCGTGACTGTATTGCTTGAGCTCTCAGTGGAGCACAATCTAAAAAGAACCTAAAATGTAGCCAAGAATCTGGCACGGTGTCTCACACCTGTAATCCCAACACATTGGGAGGCTGAGGTGGGCAGATCACTTGAGGTCAGGAGTTCGAGACCAGCCTGACCAACATGGCAAAACCCTGTCTGTACTAAAAAATACAAAAATTAGCCGGGCGTGGTGGGCATACCTGCAATCCCAGCTACTTGGGAGCCTGAGGCAGGAGAATCACTTGAACCTGAGAGGCAGAGGTTGCAGGAGGCTGAGATTGCACCACTGCACTCCAGCCTGGGAGACAGAGTGAGACTCTGTCTCAGTGAAAAATAAAATAAAAATGAAATACGGTGAAGAGGGTTATCGGCAGGAGAAGAAGCCAACCAAAGGGCACAGAGCAGGGTCAATAAAGGCAGAGAAGGCTGCTCTAGGATCCAAGGCCAATCCGCCCACTCCACATAAGCCTTTTTTGCCTCTCTGACAGATGGAGTCACTCTGCTCAGCCAGTTTCTCAGATTACAAATTCTGTACAAAAGCATCTCTTTAAAATAGTAAATAAATTACTAGAAAATTAAATTTAGTCACGACCTGGTAGGACAGTTCTCTGGAATACAAGGACATAACATCAGAAAATCTAGTAAGGTGACGCACTGCCACGCTCCTATCACAATCACTCTCAGGTTTCTGGATACAAAATCAATATACAAAAATACAAAGTGTTCCTTTTTTTTTTTTGAGAGGGAGTCTTGCTCTGTTGCCAGGCTTTAGTGCAGTGGCGCAATTTTGGCTCACTGCTACCTTCACCTCCTAAATTCAAGTGATTCTCCTGCCTTAGCCTCCTGAGTAGCTGGGATTACAGGCGTGCACAATCATGCCCAGCTAACTTTTGTATTTTTAGTAGAGACAGAGTTTCACCATGTTGGCGAAGACAGTCTCGATCTCTTGACCTCATGATATACCCTCCTTAGCTTCCCAAAGTGCTGGGTTTACAGGTATGAGCCACCGTGTCTGACCCAAACTATTCCTTTCTAATAGAAAGACTTTATTATTATTATTATTATTGTTATTGTTATTATTTTAGACAGGGTCTCACTCTGTCACCCAGGCTAGAGTGCAGTGGTGTGATCACAGCTCACCATAGACTCAACCTCTGCCCCTGGTTCAATCCATCCTTCCACCTCAGCCTCCTGAGTAGCTGGGACTGTAGGCACAATTAGATGGCTAATTTTTCTATTTGTTTGTAGAGATTGGGTTTCACTATGTAGCCCAGGCTGGTATTAAACTCCCGGACTCAAGTGATCCATCAGCCTCAGTCTCCCAAAGTGCTGAGACTACAGGTGTGAGCCACCGAGCCTGGCCTTTATTGCTATTTTTAATGGCATCTTTTTTAAAAATCAAGTCTTCCTGGGCTGGGTGCAGTGGCTCACGCCTGTAATCCCAGCACTTTGGGAGTCCGAGGCTGGTGGATCATGAGGTCAAGAGATCGAGACCATCCTGGTCAACAAGGTGAAACACCGTCTCTGCTAAAAATATAAAAAGTATCTGGGCATGGTGGCGCGTGCCTGTAATCCCAGCTACTCAGAAGGCTGAGGCAGGAGAATTGCCTGAACCCAGGAGGTGGAGGTTGTGGTGAGCCAAGATCGCGCCTGGGTAACGAGAGTGAAACTACGTCTCAAAAAAAAAAAAAAAAAAAGTCTTCCTGGCCAGGTGCTGTGGCCCACACCTATAATCCCAGTACTTTGGGAAGTGGAGAAAGCAGATCACTTGAGCCTAGGAGTTTGAGACAAGCCTGGGCAACATAATGAGACCCTATCTCTACAAAAAATAACAAAGAAAAAAAAATTGGCCAGGCATGGTGGTATGTGCCTGTAGTCCTAGCTGCTCATGAGGCTGAGTTGGAAGGATCGATTGAGCCTGGAAGGTTGCAGTGAGTCGAGATCGTGCCACTGCACTCCAGCCTGGCACCTGGTGACAGAGTGAGACTCTGTCTCAAAAAAAATGCAAAAAGTTAGCCAGATGTGGTTGTGCATTGCCTATAATCCCAGTTACTCAGGAGGCTGAGGCAGGAGAATCGCTTGAACCTGGGAAGCAGAGGCTGCAATGAGCCAAGATCGTGTCACCAAACTCCAGCCTGGGCAAAAGAGCAAGATTCAATTGCAAAAATATATATATATGTATAAGAATAAATGAGAAAGACTTATATGGGAAAAAGGTATGCAACGTACTGAAACACACTAAAGAAGGCCTGAATAAATGGAGAGGTATTATTTATTCTGGGACAAGAAAAAAAATAAAGATGTCAGTTCTTAGCAAGTTAATCTATAAACAATTTAATTCTAATCAAAATTTCAACATTATGCATTTTCTATGGAATTTGACAAGGTAATGGTAAAATGTATATGACAAATATATTCCATGTCTTTTTAAAAAAAAAATTCAGACCGGGTGCAGTGGCTCACGCCTGTAATCCCAGCACTTTGGGAGGTTGAAGTGGGTAGATCACGAGGTCAAGAGATCGACACCATCCTGGCCAAAATGGTGAAACACTGTCTCTACTAAATATACAAAAATTAGCTGGGCGTGGTGGTGCATGCCTGTAGTCCCAGCTACTCGGGAGGCTAAGGCAAAAGAATCACTTTAAAAAAACCGGGAGGCAGAAGTTGCAGTGAGCCGAGATCGAGCCATTGCACTCCAGCCTGGCAACAGAATGAGGCTCTGTCTCAAAAAAAAAAAAAAATCAAGATTTAGTGAAGAAACAGAGACTGCAGTGATTTGTCTCTTTAGTTTCTTTCTCTCTTTTTCTTTCTTTCTCTCTTTTTCTTTCTTTCTCTCCCTCCCTTCCTTCCTTCCTTCCTTCTTCCTTTCCTTTCCTTTCTCCCTCCCTCTCTTCCTCCCCCTCCCTGCCTCCCTCCCTAAAAATACAAAAATTAGCCGGGCGTGGTGGCACACGCCTGTGGTCCCAGCTACTTGGGAGGCTGAGGTGGAAGAATCACTTGAACCCAGGAGGCAGAGGTTGCAGCGAGCCGAGATTTCACCACTGCACTTCAGCCTGTCTCCAGAGCAAGACTCCGTCTCAAAAAAAAAAATTCATATAACAAAGCCACCCGAGGCAATTTTGAAGAATGAGGTGTGGGGACTTGCCCATAAGGTATGAAGATTCTCAGTAACATTG